ATGATTGCAGCCTTCTAAATGGATGTGCACCCTCAGTTTGCAAGTTTTTGGTGCGAGACTTCATGCGTTGCCAAGACATTTGCTCCACTGGTGCTTTGTGTGGCAATCAAGTTGGTATACGATCCCGTATTGAGACATGTCCAGTTCATTGTGAAAGCTCAAAGCATGGACATGAATGCACAGCTAAAAGCAGCTATGTGTGAATGTTGAGCATGATTGCAGCCTTCTAAATGGATGTGTTGATACAACTTGGCGCTCCAACGCTGCTGTGGAGCTACGACAGAAGCATTGGTAGAGGTATGTTTGGTTTTACACTTTGGACAATTTAAGTGCAAATGGATTGCCTGCAGACATGATTTTGGCTTGTGAACAGATGTCCGCTTTCTGTCTTAGCCACTCATGCATCTGCGGTGATTTTGGGTGTTGGAAGCACTTCCGTAAGTTTCCACAATACTCCAGCGGTGACAACACGAACACGTTTCTCAGTTCCTTCCTCCAGGTAATCTTATGAAGACCCACGTCGGTGCTGCACTTCGGTTGGGCTCAAGGCCAACGATTGCTACTCTCGGCAAGATAGAGTCACTGACCGTTGCACTTGTTTAACTTTGGAAGCCTTGAGCGACCAAGTCATTGCAAGAAGGAATATGAGCACTAAGGGGCCACAGCACATCATTCAGCAAGCTTTGTGCTTTTCGAGGGGGTGATTTTGCTAAAGATATTGAGGTCGATGTACCATGAATGCTCCCTCCCCAGATAAAGCAACACAATTACCAAGAGCAATGGATATTCTAACATATTAAATAAAGCAAGTCATTTGCTCAGAAAAGGTAAGAATTCTCTCCCGAATGCAAATTTCCTTTCGTTTCGATTCCAGAAAAATCCTACCCTCGCTCGTCAATACTTGTCAAAGAAACACTTTAGGTTTATGTAGACGCTTTTCATTTTGGTAGGGGCCATAGGTGGACATTTGAGAAACTACAGATGGATGTTTTGAGCAGCAAAGTTTCTCACAAGTCGCTTCGTTCTCTCTTTCTGCGACAGACTCATTGAGGAGCGCAATGAGAAGAGCCCCACTCTCTGTAAGGCAAGAAAAGCAACCAAGTTGAATAGGTTGAAAGTGCTTGAGACGTGGTTTTGACTTCAGCTGGCGCAGTGCTGGTGTGACATGCACACCCGGCCAAAAGCAGAAGAAATTGATGCTGAAGATACGCGGGACACGACGTTGACTCCTTTCTAGGGAAAAATTACTGGCCACGTGCCGTGCCAGTCAGTGGGGGAGCCAAAATCCATGTTGACAGCAGAGAAAGCTGCCAAACCAAAGAAAGGCAACCAAGTTGTTTTGGTGGAAAGTGGTTTGGACATGATATGTTGACTTCAGCTGACGCAATGCTGGTGTGACATGACACCAGGCCAGAAGCAGAAGGAATTGATGCCGAAGATACGCGGGACACGACGTTAACTCCTTTCTAGGGAAAAATTACTGGCCACGTGCCGTGCCAGTCAGTGGGGGAGCCAAAATCCATGTTGACAGCAGAGAAAGCTGCCAGACCAAAGAAAGGCAACCAAGTTGTTTTGGTGGAAAGTGGTTTGGACATGATATGCTGACTTCAGTTGGCACAGCGGTGCCCAGAACCTGTGGCAAGCCTGGAAGTTCATTCAGGTTTTGAGAGGCATACGTCCTGACCGAAAGAAAACATTGAGACAGCATTTGTCTTGACTTCAACTGTCCGTGCCACTCACCTTTCGTCCACTCAAATTGCTGAACCTTGCACAAGCATGGCCTGTCTTTTGGGACACAGGTCAGCTGTATGCTGCATGGAGAGGTGTTTGAGAACTTCACATCCAAGTACCCAGAAGTTCAAACTTTGGTGAGACATGCGCAGGTGATCAAAAAGCGAAAAAGTCGATCTTGAAGGTGCTGTCGATATGGTGCCCGTCCAGGTCCTGAAACTCAATATGCATTTTATGGCTTTTCTACTTTGCCGATTCGGTGGGTCACATCACAGTAAAAACCGCACTTTGTGCCAGCCACATTTCCTCTTCGCTTCCATTTCTCAGGAAGTGTGTGACTCTCCCCTGGGTAATGTTTCCGCAGTGTACCCTGTAGTGTGTTCTTTTTGCAGTACGTCAATCTCAAATGTGTTGCCTTTGTGCCGCCAAGGTTGCATTTAATGGACATGAACGGCAGGTTGAAAAGGTTTCAAGGCTGAATCATTCGCCGAACGAAGGTCCTGCTTTTATGTGAAAGGAAGGCAAAGTTGAAGGTGTATAGCCAAGATGCAAATGCACAAGGCTGCTTGATACAGCGCCTTTGTTTGTCCTTATTGGAGGACAACCCATGCAGCTTTACCCTGAAGCAGTCATCAAATAGCAATTGACGGGGCTTTTTGATAGGCCCAACATACCACCCGAGATGTGACCCATGTGTTTGTTGCATGAGACGGTACATTATCAAACACGAAAACATGTCTCGTGGGGTAATTTCTCTGATTTGGGCTGGATGGTAGGTGGACATGCTTGCGCTTGCTTGGATGGTTCAGCTAGTTCAATTCACCAGAAGTCAAGAATTTGCCAGGCTGCCTTTGTGCCGCAGAGTTTTTGCTATCTGGTTGATGCTCCGGTCATTGAACATCCCTGAAGCTAAGAAGGCTAAGACCCTGCAAATTTCTTGCCATCGTGCAACCCGTGCGCATGATGAAAACAGATGGCCATATAGCAACAAGAAAGCTATTGACCATCATTGAAGGCAGGGCTGGAGTGCATGTTGAAGCCCCTGCACAATGCCAAAGAGCATTCTGGGATTTGTGGTCTCGACTGCAGTTCAAGTGCAAAGGGCAAAGGGCCTTGCTGTGCATGAATGACACCCAGCGTTTACTGCATAATTGAAGTTTCCAAGTCATGGTTTCACAAAGCCACCTCAAATGTTTTTTCTGTTGCTGCTGTAATGGCAAAGGGCATTCACTCAAGTATACATTATATACCTTGCCATTTGAAGTCAGCATCGCTGATCCAATTACTGTACGTATGGTTCAAGCCAAGTACTAGGGTATAGAGGATTGAACAAACAGCAATGTAGCATGACTTGTAACAAGCAGTAAGTGATACACCATTGACTTGACCTGGGTTCTGAAAAGGTCACAACCGTCATACAGTATACAGCATTTTGCTTTGCAAATTTGTGGACCTTCATTGTGGCAATTTGTTTCAAGGTCAATTGAGCCAAGTTTCTTGACACTGGTGAAGCCTTACAACACATGACACTCCAGGGTTGCCCGGCCATGAGGCGCGTTACGCGATACTCAAGTGGTGCTTACCTGGGAACTGGCTCTCCCTCTCGCTCTCTCGCTCTCTCGCTCTCTTTATTTTTTAAGGCCTCATTGTGTTCATCTCTGAAAGTCAAAAAGTCGAGGGCTCAAGCCTTGAAGGCCTTGAGCGCACTAAGTCGAATCTCTATCGTGAAAACACTGGGATTTGGCGCGCATGGGTCAGTCTACAAGTGCAATGTGACATGCGGTGCTTTTGAGAGTTTCCTCTTAGTGAACCGGATGAGGCGGGCTGCTGACTTCAAAGACCGAGCCTTTTTCTTGCAAGAGTGCGCTTGCCAACGTGGGTGATCCCGGCTACATAGAAGCTGCTGACAGACTTTGAACATGATGCCTTTCATGAACAAGGTGATCTTCTTGACATGCTGAAGCTGAATTTGTGCTGACAACAACTTTTTCAGGTTGGTGTGAGGGAATTCAACAACTGGTTTCGCTTCAGTTATTGCTGATTTATTGATGGCTCTTGTGTTGGCGAAGTGGCATGCTGAGGTCTTGCAGCGTGTTCGCCCACAAGACCGATCCACAGCCTTTGCAGTGCGGATGTCTGTGCAAAAATGGTTGCATTGGAGACTGCACATCCACTGACTCAAGAAGCACATGTTGTCAAGAAATGGGGAACTGCTTGAATTTTGTCGAACACGTGCAGTGCATGTGAATGTTTTCAATCTTGGAATCACTGGTTGCACCCACTCTGGAAACTTGTGGAGCACGTTCTAGAGTTGAGTGAGATGTCCTTGTCGCCTGCAACGGGTCGCAGTGAACAATATTTTTGTGCAGGCTTTCCTATTGGTTTAGTCACTTGCACGTTCCCTCCGCTGCTTTTGATGGCTCTAGTTTTAACAGGGAACCGTTGCTTGAAAGGCTGTGCTAGCAAGTGTGACTTTCAACGCAATCGGACAGTTGGTTTGACCAGTACCCCCTCAGTCGAATGAGGTCATGTGGAGATTTTGATTTGTGATTGCCAAAGGCGTCTTGCGTGCAACGTTAAAACACCCCAAGGGGCTTGCCACACGCCCGTAGCCAGTGGAATTGCACTTGTTGATTGGAATTGCTTGAGTTAAACAAGTGTGCATGCAGAGGCATCAGCCAGAGCAGTAGTTTCTTTGTTTTTTGTGATTACCAGCTTGTCAGGCCGAGTGTGCTCCGGAATCGCGATGAAAGGCCTCGCAGGCATTGGAAGTGAGAGCTATGGTTTGGAGGAAGAAACACATCCATTCGAGCGTGCGGAGTGCGGGGCGAAAGAGCATTCAAGCCAGATCGTTCGGTTTGGTGACGGCCAGCATTTGAGGAAATGTGCATTCCGGTCAGAACACACAGGTTTGAAACTATCCATTCTGCTCATGGCTCCAGGTCGTTCGTTTGCGTATGAAGAACAAGGTCGAACTTTTGGGGTCAACATTTTCAGTTCAATCTACAGTAGCTTACTTGTGCGGCAAAGTGATTGCTTTTGTAGGACAATTGTATCTTTCAAAGAACCAAATCGGCCTTCCATGGAGTGGGGCCTGGAATTGCTGCAGGAGCCCGAGAGGCTAACAGGGCATGGGAGGGGATCTCCAGAAGACCTAATGGGCCTCATGTCAAGGTCGCGTGGCTGCGCTTTTCGCCCAGCGTTCTGTGCAGCGACTTTGGATTGGCGTAAACTCTAGGCCTTCCTACCCCGGTGGAGAAGAGAACAAAGACCAGGATTTATTCAGTTTCTGGCCCCTGGAGTTGCTGAACAACCACAACGTTCATGTGGCAAACAAAATTGCCACCAGTGTGATGAAGCTTGAAGGTTCCTTTTTGCATGGGTGTTTTTCCCAATGGAGGAACCTCTCAATCACAACTGGCCCTTCATAGGTGCAGTCAGATTCGGTTGCACAGGGATGTCACACATGGAGATCATGCTTGGTTGGTAAGTCCTTTTGAGGATCCCTCATAGCCCCTGGCGGTTTCGATCCATGGGGATGGTCTTACTGCAGAAGATGTTGCAAGCATTTGGTTACTGTTGATCCTTAAGTGGTGAGTCTCAGTTCCCAAGAAGAACTATACAGACAAGACGGTACCAATAAACAAATCAAGCAAAGAATTTGAGCATGCGGCATGCAGGATATTTTTGAAATCATGCATTTCCATGCATTTGTGCAGCTGATCACCTTTCATCTCCCACATGGCCTGCCTTGGAGGTGCTTTCTGGAGCTCCAGCACGCGCGGGCTGCCTACCGGCCAGGCTTAGGTAGCTTCCAGTGGGAGGCCATCTGCCCACTCGCTAGATTTGATGGGAGGGTTGGTGGGTTTGGCATTTGATGTCTATGCGATAGGGGTGTTTGTGTTTCCTTTTATTCTTAGTCTTAGCCAAGTTGCGTCCATCGAATGGTGCACCGGAACCTTTTGCGCTTCACAGGAAGTGATAGAGGAAACATCGCAACTTTCACCCTGTATTTCTCGTGTGAAGGTTTTGCACGAATCTATCAGGAAGAGATTCATCCGATCTCCTTGTCTTTTGAGGCAACCCATGCCCCACGGCCTGCCACGGCCCACCTCTCTTGGTTGGAGGTCTTGGCCACCACACGTTCGGAAAGAACAGATGCCGAGCTGCGAGTCGGCTCTGAACCTTTGCTGGTCAGGGCCCGAGAGCCTCAAAGCCCGTTGGTTAGGATTAGCCGAAAAGTCCGCAGTTGACTGGTGGCTGGTGTATGATATGCAGTAAGATTGTTTCTGTAGCTCTTTATCTTGACATTTTGGAAGATACGTTTTGTTCTTGAGGACTCAAAATTCTTCTTGTGCCTCAGCTTCTTAGATAAGCCTCAGACAAATTGTCCAGATTTCCAACTTCTGCAACTGAAGGGCAGAGCACCGATAAAACACAAAAAAGCAGGGCACAAAGTCGGTAGTGTCCAGTGTTGCTGATCCGCCCCCGTCGTGTCGGACGGACGATGTACGTGGCTTCTCAGGTGGCCACGGAGGTTCCACAGCGCTCGGAGGAGTTGCGGGTCTTGGGGCAGGTCGCCAAAACCGGACAGTGCAGAAAGAAACTCAAAGACACTCAACAGTGATGTTGACACTCTTGTTTCCCTTATTTTCCTGTCCCTTTCTTTTGGAGGAAGACTTTAAGCATGTTAGCAGCTTGCCGTTATTCATAAGACGCTGCCCCTTTTTCAGGGGTTTGAACTTCTTTTTGTTGGAACGTCACCACTCATGGTTCAAAGAGTATCTTGATTGGTTGGAGGTAGGTTTCGCATTTATATACTGTGGAATTTGGAACAGGGATTCGGTCAGTCAACATCAGGTGGACGCCTTTTGAAGTTTCTGCAGAGCCAGGTGACCACAGATTCCTTGCCGCCAGATAATATAGATGTCGTCATCTACCTGTCCTTTCGTGGAACAGTCACCTGGCAGAGTTTGTCGCATGTTCTTCTGGGATGCTTTACTGAAGAGTCAAGCAGCAGCTCAAGGCACAACAACAAAACTGCTATTGGTAGCAGGACAGTGATGATTGTCCAATGCACCGTTGCGCATTGTTTGAGTGGGAGTCTTGCCCATTAAATTCAGGGAATCCCAATACAGGTATGAGAACAATCCCTGAGTGACTCACTTATTCCTTCGCAACACAAGCAAACCGGGAACAACTGAGCACAAGATCGCCAGGTGATCCAGATGGTTGTCAGTCGCTCCTTCAAGCTTCACTTGGAAGTGGAGAAAAGGGCCCCAAAAACGTGCAAACACATTTTCGTAGTTGGTTTCTCGCCCCTTCTTGTAGTCGTCCCAAGGTCAGCCAAGAGAACATGATCACCAACCTCAAGGCTGAGCTGGTTCCATTGACTTTAGGCGCCAGTGCCCAAGGCCAAGTGCATCGTGGCTTCCAGGAGACCTGTGTCTCTGGGGAACTCGGCCATGAATCTGTTTCTTGTGAAAGGGGGCAGAAAACCTCTGGGCTCGCGGAAATCCTTTGTTCCTCTTGGGCGTTTTGCTGCCGGGTGCCCTGTGGAGGAATTGATGGGGCACTCATTTTGCTGTTTTGGTGATCAGGGGGCGGAGACATCATGAGTTTAGGATACATTCAGTGCAAATAGACATGCAATAATCAATTTGAAATGGATGCTTTAAAGTTTTACCGTTCAACAATGATTAATTTCTCAAGAATTCCACGCAAATGAGGCACCCTAAGCCCCAAACCCGAACCTACAACCTTAGTTCATTGGTGCGGGGTGCACGGTGCATCCTGGAGCTATGTTTATATACATGTATGCATGTCAGACAAGCGCAGGACGCGTACCTTGCATTGCGGCCTCGCCTGCTGACGAAGCCGCTTGTCACAAGGGTGATGTCAGGATCCGGAACTTGAAAACCTCTTGGGATTTTGGTTCTTTGGGTCTTACAGCTTTAGTTTTGTTTTTTGGAACCTATGACTTGGATGATTCGTTTCCCCACCTCTAATTTAAAGCACGGCATTAAAAGACCTCTGGGCTCTATGATGCTTGGGTGCTGCTGGCACGATCATCCTGGGCTTGACTTGGCTGGCTCACCTCATTTAATGCTACTCCAAGATCTGAGTAGCGACCTGCAAGCAGTTGGCTTCTGGGTTTTGGAGAAATGGACAGCGCACATTTGCGAAGCCAGCCTAGGTGATGACAGTAGCAATCCCAGCTACACCATGATTTGGCTGAAGAAAACACGTTTGGCATTGCCTTTTCCACTCACACTCTTTTGGGTCAGATCCGTCCACTCTATCCTGGGGATGTTTTGTGTCTTCCATCTTGGTGCAGGATATTATGGATGGGTTGATGGAAGGAGAGCCGTTGCCCGTACTCCACAATAAGTACAAGGGTGCATTTCAACGTGGGTTCAGGGATGAGAAGTGGCCAAGGGTATTGACCCATATGGGGTTCATGAATGTCAGACCAGATAGAATGGATGTTTAAGGTTCATTTGGGATAGACATGGGGAAACTAGAATCATGTTGGCAACATTTTTGGGAAAAGAAGGTCCGAAGTCAGGCACGCTGTTGGCAGTGGCAAAGGTTTCATGCCATCCTGTTGTTCATGAGGCTTGATGAGGTCACCGCTGACCCTTCACTGCTGCCGGCCAGAGTGCTGGTGCGGGCGACAGGGCATAGCCTGGGTGGTGTGCTGGCACCACGACAGCAGGTTGGAAGAGGGTGGCCACAGGCATGGTGAAACTTGTCCGAGTTGAATCATCAGCTGCTTTCAAAACGACATCCGCAGCTTGAGAAGCCCCTACATGTCGGTACGGTGGATGGATATGGGCCAATGGCTAACAGGTCCTTGTTATTCTTGGAAATCTTAGAATTTGCACCCCAAACCAAGTTAGGTTTGTACGGGGGGGATTGAAGGGATTCAAGTTTCATTCGCACAAGGTTTGAACAACCATGGAGGTTTTGTGGAGTTGAAGGAGTTGGCTCCGTGGGCCAATTCGCCGTGGTTTGTTCAGTGAAGGGCCTTTCCATGTTTGATAGCCAAGAGCTGCATCACGTGATTTGCGGATGAAGCTGAGGCAATGCTGGCGTGCTGGGAACTCAGTGAAGAATGGTCACAGGTCCTTCGTCTACAGCTTCCGCTTCTACTATCAATGTAAATAATGAACCACTCAAGTTTTGATGCAACTGGAAGGAACCGGACTTCTTGCACTCCCTCTCACTTTTGGCCACACAAACCATACTTGGTGATTCACTTTACCTGATCATTTTCCCGTTTTTATTTGTTAGTGTGCTTGGAATTGCTACAGGTCAGAGCAGATTGCTGGTTGCTCCTCACATTGTCCTTGTCCTCCCAAGCTCTGAGGCTACGACCTCCGGTCTTGCCGTGGCGTGACCTGCGAGTGTGTGACGTGGGGTGCGCCGCGGCTGGGCGACGGAGGCTTCGCCGAGCTGTGGAATGCTGCAGGAATCAAGCTGGCGCGGTTGGTGAACAGGAGCGCAGCGCGTGGATGACCTGCGCGTGCAGTGGCTGATGGGGAATCAGTAGTCATTCTCATGTGGATAGAATATATAATTGGTCTTGGTGGGTGGCTAATTGTAATCGTTTTCAGACAAGGTTTACGTTTAGGATCATATCTTCCAGGGATGGTGCAGGAGGATGGGGACATTGTCATACTCAGACTTATGTGAGGTTGGCCAAGAAGGCATCAGCTGTGTGACTCGAAGACCATCTCCATCCCTTGAGGTTTGATGTGGTTCCGAGACTACCTTCAAACCAAGAAGATGAGGCCTGGGAGAGGGTTCAGTCAAGAGCGTCGATTCTCGACCCGTCCAGCTTTGATGACATACCCTTCCACTGTTTTAGTTTGAGGGTTTGCTAACCTCATCCAGGGATTCTATCAATGGAACAGGTCATCCAATGTTTTCCTGTTTCACTACAATTGCAATTCGCATGTCTTGTGTGTGAGGCTCTGAATGATTTGTGCAGGCCGGTGAGCAGGGGCGAGTGGCCGCGCAGCTACATCAATGGCTGGGCCGAGTCCAAGCTGCCCGCAATGCTCTGGGCTATGTCCACTTCTGTGACTCCGTGGAGCGTGGGCTTTGGAGGGTGAATGAAAGTGTGTCAGTATCAACATGTTCATTCACAAGGATGCATCAAAAAGGTTCACCCACATCGACAGTCACGAACGATGTATCTCATGTACCCCAGAGCCACATGTGTGGGGCAGAGCCACATGCTTGGCTCGGTGGCTCGGTCCAGGACCTGGACACCTCCGCGGCCGCGGCGGCCTTGCACTGGGCCAACGCTGCAAAGGTTGCGGCCTTGTCGTCAGCTTGGCAGCAAGAGCTTGGGCAGTTGTGGGTGGTTCATGTTGGTTCACCGGGAAGACACCCAAGCACTTGGATTTGTTGGTCTAGTTTTCCCACAGTAATCACTTAATTGCGGGACAAAAAGGTGAAGTTCAAGAGGGTTCCAAGGTGTGGTGTGGAGGTCTGGGCCAAGCTGGTTTGTGCGCTGATTTAGAAATCAGATACTGGGGTTGACTGCACTCAATGAAGGCATTAGCTCCATTTCAATTGCTGGGCCAGCGATCAATTGATAATGCCCGCTAGTTTTGTCGTAGCCGCATTGTATTTGCCTCGTCATGTGCCAGATAGTG